ACCGTAAAACGGTTCTGCAGCGGGGCCAGCAGGCCGGAGGGGCGAGGGGCTTCTTCCAGAGATGGAGGGTGCTGATGTAGACGACCGCAGCTGCCTAGACAAGGACTCCTTGAACCTGGAGCCTTGGCAAACTGTCAATAAAGTACTCGTGCAAGAGCAAGTGCACGCTCTGTGGCCACCGCTTTTCTCCCCAGGCTCACGAAAGCCCTTACGTAGCCAAACTTGCACTAAGACTGAGATGTAAGGACAGGGAGGGAGAAAGAGGAGTCAGAAATCACCTCTGGGCTGGAAAACCTGAGTGCTAATGCCATTAAGCTGTATTGAGTGTTAGCCATGTTAGATGTCCATAAGACTATCGGCAATCTAAGTTTGGAGGTGGTAAATGAACATGGGATCAGTTTTGCTTGGCTGGCAAGTTGCCCAGACCAGAAGCATTTACCCGAATTGACCCAGTGTGACACCACTGAGTGGAGATGGCAGGGTGGGAGATGCGTCTTGGAAACCTTGGTGCAGGGACGTTAACCAAAACCCTGGCTTCGGCTGTTGCGTGGTGCTGCGATGTATATGTGCACACCTGCCACATTTTGCTCCAGACCTTTCCCATTTTGTTTGGCGTCTCGATATTTAGCTCATATGGAGATTTGAGCTTGCCGAGTGCTTTGGGATTGAAGGGTGGCTTGTAAAGTATTATTATTCTGTTGCTGATGGGTGGGTGGAGAGAGCCTACAGAATACATCCTTTCATTTGCCTTCATCCTATCCTACATTTTATAAGACTACATTCGACTTTTAAGCTTCTCCATGGTAGCAAATGCAACTCCTGCTGTCAGGACTGTTTGCTTTGGGCAGGATACAACTGGCAGCATTTATTTTCCTTTCTACCAAACAAAATAATATGTATCTTTCCAGCGGAAGAAAAGCGATGTGGTTATTCATTCGGGACTGCAGATTGCCTTGGCCACAAAGCATACTTGGGCTCTGCATCTCAGGAAAAGCTTTCAATAACAACACATTTGTTGTAGCAAAAAAACCCGAAAGCATTTGTATTTGCCATGGCACAATGTGATAAATAGGGGAATCTGTCTGTAACTTAGGACTTGAACTGCCTGACTTTGCTGTACCTTTTATGTCTGTCTTTTACAGTGTCCTGAGTCAGCATCCTTGTGTTAAGGAAACGGGGTGTGACACCAATATATTTATCCAGGAATTTCATCTATTCATAGCTCCATTTGTTACAGATGACCAGCAGCATAATGTACTTTACTTTGGGAAAACAAAAATCTTACATCAATAGCCCTTTTTCCCCCCAATCCCTACAGAGATGCACGAGTTTGGCTGCTGACAAATCAAGAGATGGTATGAAAAACTGCATCCAGTTTTTCAAGGCCAGGTCTCAAAAAACAAGTGGTTGGAAGAATTTTACTGAGATCAAGGAAATTTGAACAAGAAAGAAGAGAAAAGGGGTGCACTTTCATGTGAAAACATGTCAATAGTAAACCTAGATAAAGAAGGTAGGGAAAAAATAGAGAAATAGAACCTCCCTGATTCAGAGGAGCCCTTCTGCTGAGGGACTGACCGGGCAGCAGGCTGGAGGCACTGAAATGGGAAACAACCCTGGTGTAAGGGCAGGTGGCCAGGGAGAGGGAAGGACAGATGGGGTGAGGAATCAGAATGAGAGAAGCTTCCTCTGACCAAAGAGATGGGGAAAAGGAGTCTGAGATGAAGGCGTGAGTCAGCTGTGGATGGAAGGGATAAATACGCATGCACTTTGACAAATTGCCTCTGAAGAGAAACCACAGACCATGCCCACCATCTCTGGGCATGCCACGAGAGACCCTCCAGAGCTTTATCTTACCTCTCCAAACCAGTTGCTGGGCACAAGGCATGGAGGTTTGAGTTGTACAGAAGTGCAAGGGCGCCTGCCCACTCATTGAAAAGCAGTTCAGCTTAGCTCCATGGTTGCAAAGGATCTTGAGACACTCAACATTTGCCATTTCACACGCTATGTGGATTGCAGCTTTTCCATTGGGCCGGCAGTTGATTGTAGCTTTGTGGTTGAGCAGGACCGAAAGACTCTCCAGATGTCCATACATGACAGCTAGATGAAGACCAGTTGCCCAGGATATTTTTAATTTGTAGCTAGGCAGCCAGTACCCTGTACAAAGTGAAAATGTGTTACCAACCTTGGCAAAGACTGTTCTTTGGACTGTGCACCTACTGAGAATAATTGAGGGGGAAGGAAGGGTTGGAGTTTTGCTTTAATTTACTGTAATTTCACTAGTTACAGTTTAATGCACACGAAGTTCTCTCAAGCATAACTTCATTTTCATTAAGCACTTTTACTATGTGTGCTGAATAGCCTGCCTTTTGGAGAGATAATTCCCATGTAGATGTACTCTGAAGGCAGCTTTTGTTTTTCTTGTGACCTGTGTAGACTCAATTAAAAAAATACGCTTAGAGCATTTGAAAACATATGGGGGAAATGGGATCTTCAGCCTGCCAATAGCTGAACAAAGGTAGCGCTGGAACGAGAAGCCAGCATTTACTTAGGCCAGTGACTCAACAGATATCTCATCCTGCTGTTTCTGCGTGGGAGATTGCAGGATCTTGCATGTCAGGAGCTGGATTCAGGCTTCCAGTGATGCAGTGCACATAGATGACCCTTAGCAATGTGGCTGCAGCTGTATCAGACCTCCTGCCAACTGCTGTCCCTGAGGAGCATGGAGTGAGGAGTTTGGATGCTGATGTAAATGAGGTTGAAGAGCCAAATAGAAGCAGTGACACTTTAGCATGAAATTTGGCTCCAAAATGTTTGGATTTTTCTCTGCAAATTTCACAATGATTTTTTTTTTTACTTACAAACAGGTGTAAGACCAAATAACACTTAAATATTTGTTCCCAAAATAGGACTACATGCTTAATGACTGCACAGAGACAGTCTCAGAAGTGATTACTATAATAATTTGTTTTAAAAAAGTAAAACACAATAATAATGTGCAGAAGGGCAGGAGAAGTCTAAAACTTTTTCTTTTCTCTTTTTTTTTTTAGCTACAGTAGCTGCATTGTAGCTAGAATGTACCTGTAAAATTTTCTGGGCTTCATTTATCTATTTCTCCTTGGACGACTGCCTGGTTGAATACTGTTATCATGTAAAAGACACAGCAAAAAATACTAAAGATGTTTAACAAGGTCAAATTAATTCAGACCTTCATTTCTGAATCTCTAGTTATATATAGTTTATCAACCTTAATGTCATATAGATACAGGTTTTATAGTTTTCATGTGTGTTGTATTAGACGGAAAGAAGATGGAGAGGGAGGAAAGAGGTAGATAGAAACAAAGTGCTGGTGGCAGGGAGAAACTTGGATTAACGTTCTTCTTCCTTCCTAGTTAAATTGCAAGTGTATTCTGAGGTAGATGCCAGTAATGCAGTTCTTGTACGCCTCTGAAAAATGCTAGATTTCCACCAAAAGGTTATAGTTATAAAATGGACAGTCATGACAGCAACTGCACCTCCTGCTCTGGCATGGCTGCAGTGACTTTTTCCTGACCAATATAAGCATTTATTAGTGCCAGCGTGTGATGTTAGGGGTGAGAAACTGTCTACAGGCCGCAGCAGCCACTCTAGGACTAAATTTTGGGGACTACCAAACCCAGTCCCCAAGGAACCCACGCCATGAATGGCAACAGCAGGCAGCCCTGAGGCACCTGAGTGCCCACACGGGGTGACAGGTTCCCCTGCAGCCGCTCAACCCTCTCTCAACCCGCTGACTGCCAACCCGTAATCCAGGTTACGTTGGCAGCTACGGTAAGACAACCTTCTCATCATATGCCCCCAAACCAGGCACAAAGTAGGTGGGCTATATCCCAGAGTCTATGCATATAGCAGAGAAATTTCTCAAAGAAATCCCCCTCCCAAATCATGGTTATCTGGGATTCAGAATAAAAGTGTGATTTGCACAAGAGTTGATAGAGTGCCTTCTGCCTTTCAGATAAAAAAAGTGAATACACTGCTGTGATTTAGTCCATAGGCCACATTTACCTCTCCACCTTTCGGAGAAAGGAGAGACTTCTCCAAAAGAGACAGGTTAACGCTTGCAGTCAAATGATCTACAGTTAAAAATCTATGTATTAATCCTGTAGTCTCAAACCACAACCAGAATGCATCTCAGCCTGCTGAGGACAGAAGAAAAGTTATTCATCACTCTGCGGGTTAGTTCGGACATGGTCCCCAGGGGAAGTACGGCATGACTGCATCATCCCCACCCTAATGAAATAAAAGAACAGGAGCCAATCATTAAGTAAGAGGTGATCACAGAAAAGGAGAAGAGGTGGGATATTGTCCCTTCTTTATGCCATAGAAAAGAAAGTGCATTTGCTGTGCTGCTGAGACTGGAGGTGGTTATCTCCACCAGAATATGATTAACTTCTGGCAAAGGCTGATCATGACTGTTTTCTAGAGACACACAAAGAGTCTGTTATCAAGCAGGTCATGAAGTATGTTGGTTTTAGCAGAGAGCAAACTTGGTTTATTGCTTTAAGTTTTAAGTTTTTGGAAACTCAACCAGTGTCTGTCTGAGAACTGGTTTGGGTTTTCTACACTCCAAAATAGATGTCTTTTCTGGCATGTTTTTCCAGATGATTTTTCTGTTTATCAAAACTAGCACATCCTCACTTTCTGTCAGTTTGAAAAATAAATCTCCTCCCATCCAGCAACATCCAAGGTCCACAGGATTTCCTTAGCTCTTCTGAGCTAGGGAGAATTCCCTCTACTACTACTACTGTAAACTGAAAATGGAAGAGATTTAATGTTTTATGTTTCTAAGCGGTCTGTATATGTGGCTGGGTACATGCAAGAAATGTATATACCACACCTAGCCTGCACGTGTCTATTCTGGGCTTTGCACCCACGTTCTCCACGAGGAAACAGCAAAGGACTCCTCTTTCTGGACTCCCCTGAAGCTGCAGCAACTGCCTCAGTGGCACGGAGGCTCAGGATGGTCTCTGGCCTGCCCTCCACCAAGCCCAGCAGGTAGAGTTGATAAGCTCCCCTACTGCGGTGACCGAGGCCATATGAACCTGCTGAGATGTTACTGCCTATGAATCAATTTATGCTGCAGCTTCAGAAGAGCCAAAAGGCCACAGTTTCTTGAAAATCACTCATACCCATCTGCTTCCTGGCTGGTGAATGCTGCCACATTTACCTTGTTTGTAGGATGCCAGAATCAGGTTTTCATCTTCCGCTTCAAACACGGTGTCCACGTCTATTTTCTTTTGGCTCAAGAGCTTTTCCAGTGTTTCAAAGTCATTGGACTTCAGGGCTTCAAGAAAAGCCTTTTTCACCAATTTTGCATCTGCAGCTCGAGTAATTTTCCCCTCCGTATTCTCTCCCTCTTTGTATGACTCCTCCAGATCCATTTCCAAACGTATTTGTTTGTGCTGTGAAGAGGGGTACACTGAGGTCCCTGTAGCACAGTTGCATGCTGAAGTTCCTGAAGACCAGAAGGTAATTTTATCACTTGGTCATGCTGATCTGCTTGTTCTATTTATATGAGGAGCATTTCAGGCATCGAAATGCCACTCTTCGATATCACCACACTCTTTTTATGAAAGCGAGGACAGACACGCTAGCAATAACACCAAAATAAGAGTTATCTCCATGACACACTAGCAATAACACCAAAATAAGAGTTATCTCCATGGGCTTTATACACATTAAGCTTCATTAACCACATGGTTACCCTCTGCTCCTGCCATACGCTTACATTAAAAGACACTAGTCCCGGGTGTTGTTTCTCAGCTGGAGAAGCACTCACATTTCCTTTAATTGTTACCATTGCTGATTTATTGACTGCAATGGGATGTGATGCTCTGTCTGCAGATGTCTTGTAATTAGTGCATTTCAGGAAAAAAAAAAAAATCCCCAAGGTACTCTTTCTGTGGGAGGTAGCTCACTCTTCCCCAGGACAGCATTCGGCATGTCAGTCCTGCTTTCATTCCTCCAGCCATCAGGCAGGCCTCCACAAGAGCTCCCCACCACGCAGGTCTCACAGGTACCCTGATCTGTAAAGCCCCAAGGGATCGTTGTGTTGATCTACCCCAGCCTCCTGTATAATTACCCTGAGCAGCAGGATTTCCCTAGTTTGCTCAGGGGCACTGCCACCGACAGTGCTCCCAGGAAGGAGAAACGCTGGGATGAGGGGGCTGCAGAGCCATACAGCCATCTTTTAGGGTGGGGGACCTCACACACTGCAGGGGACTTGCATGCTAATTAACTCACGTGCAAGCACGGGAGGCCGCATCGGTCCATAGGCTCTTCTCCTTCCCCCTGCACACTCTTCATCTAAATTCAGACCCTTCCCTATGCCCCAACTACTTTTCCCTCTCCCTCACAACCCCATCACCTACTGAACACTTCCTCCTCCCTGCCTTTTCCTTCTCTCTTTGCTGGTCCTGTCCCTTTGTTGACAGCAGTCTGCGATGACGCAAACCCACACATGGCCAGCATGAGCTGCTGCCATGCATCACGTAGAAGTGGTTCATACCTGCACCCACTTGGGCTGCTGGATGAGACCATAGCTAGAAGGAAACTATCCACCCTTGATTTAAATCACCCAGCAAAGTGGACACCACCACAACCATTAAGAAGAAATTTTCACATTTATCCTTCCTGGGAGTTTGGCTGCCAAGTGAGCTGATGGGGAAATGTGAGCCAGGTGATACTGGAAGTCGGAGCAGCCTCTGTGTTTGTAGGGTTTCCAGGGACCGGGCTCCTCAGGCAGCCTCATGAAGACCTGCAGGACCCCCATCCATGGGAATGCTCAACAGCTCTCTCCTAGAGCCAGTGCTCAACAAAGGTGTTACAGGACAGCAGTACATGGAGAACTGTGAAATTTGTGAGTACCTTCTACCTGTGTACTTTTGGATGAAGAATACTTCATAAAAACTACTCCCCTGAGGTATTGCACTTTGTAATAGACACAGTGGGAAGGAAAACGTCTTGCCCTGGTGCTATAGGTCCCAGGCAGCTCATGTGGGCATTTCTAGGCTTACTTAAGAGGACAGGCAGCATCAGGCTCTCCATAACTTTACACTCCCTCCTGCATGACTGCCTCCCTCTCGCTTTGTTACATTCAGTAGCGGATGATGCCATGCTTTAAAAAAAGTGTTAATGCTTGTCTGGCATGAGCAGAGGGACAAGATGTGAACTCCAGATCTTACGGGCTTCTTGTTACCATATTTTTTAAACCACTGTATTCCTGAAAAGTCATGGACGCACAAAGCACTGATAGGTGGCTGCAATCAATTGTTCACCTGAGCTACACTTTTTGACTTGAAATGGACTAGCTTTTCATCTATCATCTTTTATAAATAGTATTAGCTGACACAATGATATTCAATCTAGCTGTATACTGAAAGGATCGTGCCAGCACATCTCCATGCTGGTCTGCTGCTTGGAGGTTGAGATGCACAAGCACGTTGCTGTAACAGGTTACTGCACATCTGCTGATCCATCGTGCTTGCTCTTGGTTGACAAGCAAGGTGAAGTAATTTGTGATGGCTTGGCCCACAGTGAAAGAGAAAGCTGATTAAAATTACTTCACATCTGTCATGGTCCAAGAGGATGCACAGGGATGCACCTCAGACCAGATGATGCACTACAACTTGCTCATCTTCAGTAATTTGTGTGGCCCTGCTCTGACTCTCACAGAAATTTTTCTTAACATTAATAAGCTTAAAAGAGAGAAATGAAACAATTATAGATACCTATAGCCTTTATAGTTAACATTTTCCTGTAAGCTGCATTTGGGTCTAATCTTGAAAAACCTATTCATATGAGTGCACTGGTGGTTTCAGTACAATTATATACGAGAATGAGGAAATGGTTTTATGTTTTACCTTGACAAACAATCACAAAAAGTTAGACTGACTTTTTAAAGCATGATGTAAGAATTTTTATTAATTTGCCTGAAGTATAGTAAAAAATATATTTAAGAATACATAAATGCTGTAAGTCATTGGTGGGGCAAAGGGACCAGGTTTTACTATGTATCTAAATTTTTGCTATCCGTGTAATTTCCTACAGACTTCTCCCCCACTGTACCACAAGGTGGCAGTTTGATTTTGAAAGTCAAAACTGATGTCATCCAAGCCCCAAGGCTGCCAAATATTCTGAACATCTCACTGTGAAACAATAGCTCATCACTTGTTTAATATAAATAACAGTACTCGTATTTACAATATTTATAGGTTAGACTTAAGGCCACTGTGATGGGTACTGTGCACTCACACAGTGTATCCACTACAGAAAGAAAACCCGGGTTCCACATTTAGGATCAATTGTCTAAATTACTCAGTTAATGCAAAGGCACGTTTTTACCGGGGCGACAACTCCTGCCCCCAAGTTTTCCTTCTGCTCCACACAGTGCCACACAACACGCTCCTGTTCACAGGACAAGCCACAGGCACACGAACACCTGCACCTCACGGGGACAGGCTGGATCTGCCCCTCATAAGTGGTTACAGCAGGTCAGAAGAACCAGGTGTGAAGGGGCGCAGCAAGCAAGAGAAGAGCAGACAATGGTTTTGGGGTGCACACTGCTTTCCATTTCAGGTGATGGGACTGTCGTCGCTGGCTTCAGACGGGCTGCTGAGGACCCTCTCCATCAGGGTTATCACAGGCTTGTTCCAACGCCCACTGAAGTCAAGGGAAGTATTTCCACTGACGTCAGTGGGCCATGTCCTTTGTAAGGCTGGGCACCAAGCAGCAGAGCTGAGCCGGGGAAAGCTGCCTGGAGGTGAGTGCCTGAACACCATCGGGATGGTATTATGAGAAGGATGATAGGGGGCCCAGGAGTTTGTATGAAAGTCAGAGTTGTGACTGACAAAGACAGCCTTAAGGAGAAAATAAGAAAGGATATACTGGCAGGCTGTGCAGAGTGTGTTTCCTGAGGAGCCAGGGCCCCTCCATTGGCACTTGCTGATGCAGAGCAATGTTCTATTGGCAGCTACGTAACTCACAGCAGTGCTGGGAACAGCTCGAGCAGAGTTTTGGAGGTGAAAACCGACATCCTGAACTCTACGCTGGAGCAGGCAGAAAGCCAGCAAAAGGAGAAATGCTCCAAAAGAACGGTGGTGATGCAAGCGGAGCAGTGGAGGAGCTGTTCCTAGCTGCAATACAGAAAACCTTGGCAGCTCCCTGCCAGTCAGCCTATTGTGCAGCAACCCTGTCCCAAAGGCAGTGCTGGTGGGGATGGGTACAGAGAGCACTAACAGATGCAGGGTCACCTACCTGCAGCTTAGCAGGGTTGTTACAAATGTTCTTCCCGCGCCGCTTACAGAGGGGACCTTGACACATTGCCTGCAATCTCCAGCTCTGAGCCTTGCAGCACTGTATTGGCATGCTCGGCTAGTGAGGTTTCAACTCTGCCCTTTCCTTCCCGCAGCGGGTCGCTGGCTAAGGCAGGTTGCTTAAGCAGTAGTAACACAGCCTCCGTGAGAAGCTGTCTGTCCTGCTCTGAAGCCTTACCTGAGGGAAACGTACTGAACATCAGATCTGTGGGCCTGAAGCAAAAACCAGATCCTTGAGTTAATCCCACACTTTCACCTCTTCTGAACAGCGCACCCTTGTACAAACCACTGTTGCAGTAGCGATCACAATCCCCTCACTTTGCTGTGGCCCTCACAGCATCTGCAGCATCAGGCCAAGTCAGCCACACTGCTGCCCACTCTGTGGGCAGTATTGCCTTCTATATCCCTTGTGTTGCCAAGTATAACCCTTGTTTCTTCCTGACAGCTCTCAGTTCCCAAGCTTCATTAAACACAGCCCCCTTATTTATTTATCACACATCTTTTTGCTAATAATAATATTGACTTTTTTTCACTGCTGTACATCTTTCTGCCTGCTTTAGCCATCACTATATTTTATCTGATTTTCTTCTTCCAGGATGCTGACTCTGAGTTTCAAGATTACATAAATCTTCCCCATGCTTCTTGCTTTATTTCTTAGTAGGAAAAAAGCTCTTTAGCTGTGCCAGGTGCAAACTATTTTCTCCAGGTGCTCAGCTGTAAATAATCTCTTGAGAAAAGTCCTCTCTGTAAATTCACCGCTGTGGCTGGTTAACCTGAAACCTTCTTAGTATAATTTGTTTGGAATCCTCCTCTTGTTCTTTGTTGTATTATTTCACTTTTGTTCTCATTTGCTAGGGATGGGGGGAAAAAAATAGTCCTGGATCCTCAAAGGCATTTAGACATAAAACCCCCAAGTCACTGGAAGTCAAATTCCTAGGAGCTGGGAACCTATGTATCTGTGAGAGTCTGGGCCTTCTGTTTTTGTTTTCAGTAAAGCAAGTACAATTTAGAAATATGGATCAAGTGAGGTGCCTTAAGGTATGTGCATGTTACAAAACCAAAGGTTGATGCCAACAATCCTGAATTTTGTTCTCATGGAACTTCATGTCTGAAGACTTCATGGCAAAAGCTTAGCCCATCCTTCCACGG